GCGGCCAGTACGACAAGGAGTTCGAATGTAACAACAGTGAGAGCGGCTACCTGTACTGCTGTGGCACCTGCTACTACCGCTTCTGCTGCAAGAAGCGCCACGAGAAGCTGGACCAGCGCCAGTGCACCAACTACCAGAGCCCGGTGTGGGTACAGACGCCCAGCACCAAGGTAGTGTCTCCTGGGCCCGAGAACAAGTACGACCCGGAGAAAGACAAGACCAACTTCACCGTCTACATCACCTGCGGGGTGATCGCCTTCGTCATCGTGGCGGGGGTCTTCGCCAAGGTCTCCTATGACAAGGCCCACCGCCCACCGCGGGAGATGAACATCCACAGGTGAGAGCCGGCGGTGCCTGCCCCCTGCCTCCCTGGAGCTCATCCCTCCCTCCTTCCTCCCTTCCTCTTCACTCTTGGGTTCACTCCCTTCCTCTTCACTCTTACCTGCTGTGTGAATCTCAGCCTTCTCATACCTTTCCCTCCACTTCTTCGGAAGGGAAAATGAATGCATGCTTTGGTGGGAGAGATTTACAAGGTATGAATTAGTCGGATCCGTAAAGTGTGAGTACACGAATCGTACATATTTTGTGGCCCCGAGTGGGTATTGGGGTTTCAGTGTTCAAGGCTTGCAGCCACCTGGGTGGAGGATCCTATTGCATTGGGTTTTCCCAGTGAAACCCCAATGGATCCTCTTAAATGCAGGCCAGTGTTGGAATCTTCCTGAAGAGAGTACCAAGTGACTTTTGTGTAAACTGGAGGTTTGCATGTTATAGAGATGGAGGTCAATTGGAAAGGATGTCAGGAGAAGGCATAGACTTACCCATTTCACACTGATCAAGGGTAGATGATGAGGCTTCTTTGCTCCCTGTGGAGGGGATTGCTTATCTTTCCAGCTGCCACTAGTTCTTTTAAACCCTGTAGGCAGAATTCTGAGTTAACACTTCTTGCTGTGTTAAACCTGGTGGGCAATTTTCACTGCCTATACTAGGGAGGTGGTCGGGGCTGCTTTCAACCAAAACTTATGCCAGAGCTGGAGATATCATAGTCCCTGGTTCCACCCTGTCTCCCACCTCACACCACCTCAGCTCTCAGTGAGCCCTTTGGGAAGTCAAAGCTGAGACAACAGGAAGCCAGCCTCCCTTTGCAACTCTAGGGAAGATGCACAAGGGGAGTCAAAGTTAGCTTTGCCTCCAGTTGCATCGCCATGATGAATGGCCGACATGGTTCAGCAGACTTTCAGGGAACAAACCCTGCCCTGGAAATGCCCCGTTTCCATCATCTGGTATGGGCTCAGATAACCAGGATCATACCCCCCCCCCCCCAGATCAGCCCTACTTCTGAATTTGCCTACAGGGTCCATCCTGAACCTTGTAGATTTAGTTCGTCTTCACACTCTGCTTGTTAACCTTTTGGCCTGAAAACCTGCTTCCCCCACTGCTGTGGACATTAATCACCTGCACTTTGATGAAGACAGAGAAAGGCAGGTAGAAATTTCTGGGCATGATTTTTTTCTCCCTTGATACTGAGCATGTTGAGAAAAAAATGATTCTGCCTGGCAGTAAGTATGACAAAGTAGGACAAACTCAGGTGTTAGAATTGGAGTGCTTCCTAAAGAGAACCCTTTATACTCCTCACTCATCACCCTAAGGTGCCACTGCCCTTCATTCCACCCCATCTTGTCTCTCAGGCACTGATCTATGCCTGGGCTGGCACTGAGAACTGATGCTTGTGACAAATGGCCTGTGGTCATTTGGAAAAGCCGAGCACAGGAGGGATAGAGAACAGAGTAAAGATAAGACACTCTCTCTTGTGGTCATTGCTGAAGAATTCTCTGTGGCTCACCTTGGGGAAGAGAGCAGAGCAGGAATCGCCTGTGGACAGGCTCCATCCTAGAGCCAATGTGTCTGGTCCTTATCCTTCTACTCTGCCTCCTGTCCTGCAGGGAGAATGGTCTTCTCCCTTCCCCTGGCCTCTCATCACATCTTCTCCTCTGGCTAGGCTGCTTTCTGGTTGGTTTCCATAAACTTCTGGGTTTCTGTCTCTCCCTGGCCATCGTTCCCAGTGCTCTCAGGAGCTGCTCCCTGCCCCACCCTGGCCCCCTCCTGCTGAGCACATTCATCATCACCTGGGAAGAAACTGATGCCCTTTAGATCTCTGCATTGGCCTCTGTTCTGCTGGCTTGTGACTCTGCAGATGCCATGGTCACTCCTGTTTTGTTCTCGCCTCACCTCTACACTGACCACCCCCTTCTTTACTTGTCTCCCCTGTCCTCCACCATTTCCAACTAAGTCACCTAGTTCATTTGGGTATATTGCCCAACAGCCAAACCACTGGACTGGTTTCCCTCTTGGGGGGGGGCGTGAGAGGTAATCGCGGGAGGAGAGATGAATTTCAGCCTTCAAACCACTACATAAATATGGGATGTTTCTCAAATTCACCTCCTCATGTTGTTGGATTCACAGCACTTTCCAGCAGCTGCAGTGTGGCCTGGCCAGGGCTTTGAAAATCCTCACACTGGTGCAGGGGACAATGTGTGTCTGTATCAGGGGCAGGGCGCGAGAGATCCCTCTAGGACAGCCCATGAATGACCTTGGGCAGGTCAGGGAATATTTTTTCTCAACCCCAGGTGACTCAGGCACAACAGCATCCTACCACCTCTTCCTTCCCAGGCATGCCAGGGTGCATGTGCTTTTCTCTGCTCACCGCTGTGCATGTCAGTGACCTCAGAGGTCACTGCTTGCCATTTTGGGGAAGTTTCTTACAGATCGTCCTCTTGGGAAATTGGGGTAGGCAGTGCAGAGAATGATGGAGAAAGAGACAAATACTCACACTCTCATGAGTTTTCATGCCCCCTCTAAGGAAAGTGGGGCATGTGTATTCTTCAGAGGTCAGCAGAGGCAGTGGGAGGTGTGCTCACTTTCATATTCTAGGAAATAGTTCAGCAGAGACTGTTTCTTTCTGAGAAGGAAAGGAGCTTGTTTCAGTGTGTGTTCTCAACACTGGTAGTAGTTAGGCTAGCAGGAGCTAAGTCCAGGTGGGGAGAATGGCCTGAAAAGGACATTTGTGGGAGAGTTGGGTGGGGTAAAATGTAGGATGCCACCCCAGGATCACCCCAGATCACCCCAAGATCTGTCCTTCCTGGAGTTCGCAGGCTCAGCAGCCATCTACTTGCCCAGGCAAGGCATCCTTGTACTCTCCAGCCCTACAGGGAAGAAAAGACCTAGTCTTTTGCAGAGGCGATTAGACTTTGCCATCCGTTTCTGTATGAGAAGTCAGTATCTCTAGGGGAAACTGTTCTCTGATGATTCTAACAGATGAACACAGGCAGATGTAGCTGGACCCCAGGGAGGAGAATGAATGGAGGGCCCCCGACAGAGCTGTGTTCTGGAACTGGAAATCCCTGGACATCAGGCAAACTGCTTTTCTCAGCTGGAACCCCCTTTCCCACCAGGGAATCTCTAGCGTCCTGCTCTTCCCAATAGCTAGGCTGAGGTTCAAACTGACGGACCACAGGCCTCCACTGATGTTAATGTTTCATGAGTAGTTTCTGCAATGTTCCTTGAGGCTCTTTTTCAGGGAGGGGTTACTGCTTGCATGGGCAGGGGCCCACCCAGGAGACTGGCTCCCTTTGACATTCAATGCTTTATGGTACAAGTTGTCTCACATTCAAACCTGTTTCTTCCTCCTCACTCTCAGTTGATTCATTCGTGTCTTGGAGATGAGAATCATTCTGAGGGTGGCATTGTGTGCCTTTTTTAAAATGGCTAATTAACAGATGGGTCAGGAAGTTATTAGGAGGCTGTAGTTGGTAAAATCAGGCTCATCCTGGGTCCCTCAGCTGCCTCCATAGGGATGGAGAGAATGGAGGAATTTGGGGTGTGGAGGAGTGGTGAAGAATGCTCAGGGCTGGGGGAGAAAAAAGGAGATGTTGTTAGGAAAAAGGAAAAGTGCTAGGAGGTGACCCCTCCAGCCATCAAAATGGCTCTCCATGTTTGGTTTCTTCTGCTCATTTCTAAAGAAATCAAGGGAACTCTTTGTTAACTGTTCTCCCTCAAGAAATTAATTGCAAACTCAAAGCTCTGTGTTTTCCTTACAGACCATATTCTGAAGTAGCAGGATCACTTTGTTGACTGATAGAGTGAGTTTTCTTCCTAGGTTTGTGGGCAGTGAATTGTCTAATCACCCCAAACATCCATTTTCTGAAGCATGCTGGCTTCATTATGATGAATCGATCTGAATGGACAGTCAACTTTTTACTTCAAATATTGCAGTTGGGAGGAAAGAAGTAAAGCATCTTGCCATGGACTGAAGGTCTTAGCCTTATTGTTTTCCTTTTTGGGGAAGTGGGGGGTAAAAAATGCATGCAGGGAGAGCAGTGAGATTATAGAAGAATTACAGCTTACGGAGGAGGGTTAGGAGAAAGATACCTGGAAGATAGACGAAAGCTCTGAGAGCAAAGGAGGGAGGGAACCGGAGAGAAGTGGACAGAGTGCCAGGCAGGGCTGACCCCTGCTGCCTCCTGCAGCTGCCAGCGGTGTCTCCTCCCCTCCACAGATGAGCCCCGCTCACCTGCTGTGGGCAAGATATGTTTCCAACTATAAAGCATTAGGCTATAAAATCTCGTTACCTTTGACACCTGAGACTGGGATAGGCGTGCTGACTGATAAAGCTAAGTCAGCTGGAGGCACTAAGGCTAAAGCATTCTGATTTAATAGATTGGCCATGCAAATACTTTTTTTTTTTTTTTACAAAAGTTTATTTTTACATCATTTTGTACATTTTGTTTTCCATCTCGATTGTAATCCCCGCGGGTTTCCCATCACCAAGTCACCCGTGTGCCATCACCATAATCCCGTGCATTTCCCTCCCCCATCCCATTGCAAATACTTTCTTTAAAAAAAGATTTTATTCATACAGACAGGGGTACAGGCCAGAGGTGCAGGGGTGGCGAGAGGATTTACCTGAAACAGAGTGGGGAGCAGAACAAGCAGATGGACAAAGAACACTGCTGAGGGGAGCAGCGGGCGGGACAGGAGAGGTCTGCCTCGCCATGTGGGTCTCCTCTGGGTGGGGCTTGAACTAGCACTGAAGCAGCCACGGCTTGGCTTAGCTTTGCAGTGCAGTGCTCCAACTCACTGCGCCACCAGAGAGGGCCCATGCAAATACTCTCTAAAAATTCCTAGACTTCAGCAGATCTCCCTGGAATGCTGGCTGCCTTTAGGCTCTTTCCCATTCTACCCCAAGCCCAGAAGTCACATGCTTCTATCCTTTAGGGGCCTTCCCTGGAGCCCCCACCCCCAGACTTAGAGCATATTCATTTAGGGGAGTCTGATGCTTAG